CAAATGGTTAAAAATAAGAAATCTGCTTCTGAATAATTTTTGAATAATATTTTAATAATATATATTTAATATGATTTATTTGTAACTTGTTCTGCTATCTAATAAATCATTGTTTATTTTATCAATGTATATTGATGCTATTATTATTTATAAATTAATATATCATGCAGAAGGCGATCAACAAAACTTTTCAAAAACACAATCTGCTTGCGCGCAACTTGTTAATTATCCCGGCTCGAAAAAATTAGAGGAGTATAACAAACAACGAAATTAGTCGCTAAAACGCAAAATACCGGTATTCCGCCACGAAAAATTTTTTTCTCCCATGGCTGCGTTCCATTTTCGCCGCGCCATTATTCTCGTTTTCATACGCGCTATCATGCATCGTTAATCTACGGCAAAATGGCAAAACCATCAGATAAAAATAGTTTGAAAATCTCAAAGTAATCTTAATCCTCTCGTTAGATTTCACGCGTCATCAGCGATATTCGGAGCGTAAACAAAATCGATGTAATTAAGCGTGTAAACTTGCAACGCGCCTCAACGAGGAGAAAAATGTCATGGCGCTTTTTTTTTTGCATATCAGGAAGGTTCTCAGGAAGACGATCGCAAGCTGGACGTGTCGGCGTCCTTCAGTTCTGGAACCGAAGAATTACGAGCTCGTTTCCGGCCAGCGACGTAAGCTCGTAAATTTACGTTGCACCACCCGGCTGGATCCCATATGCAATTTCCATCAGGTCCCTCTCCCTCGGCGTGCCGCCGATGATTCCACGAATTTTTGCCCTTATCTGCACGCGTGCGGCGGACGTGTGCTTTAACTTTCGCCACAGCATAAACGACGCTATCAATAAGCGATCCATAAAATTGTCGAATTTATCGGCGCGTCGGTAATCTCTCCTCGTCGTATTTTTTCGCTGACTTTTTTTTCGCGCACGCACACGGCTCGCGATTTCACCCCCCCCCCCCGTCGACGTGGATCATGATGAGCCGCGGGAACGTACGGCGAACCCGATTACAAATTCGAATTCGTCGCGGTGTGCACACGATCGATATCGCGATAAATGAAAATGTGTCCGCTTCCGAGATACATCGTTGCGACAGCTCGATACCGCAACCGTGATTCAAGAGAGCACTCGCTTTCGAACTCGCGTTGAAATATTTACGACGTTCCACTCAGTTCGTTTGATATTGCATGCTTATGTTATCGAGTAAAATATGATCACGCCGACGCGTCCCTTCGATATTATAAATGTGAAATTCTTTCTGATATAAAAATCCGTGGTTTTCTTTTGGCACGGTATAAGGACATGTCTCTTAAAGCGGATGAAAAATTTCAGAGATTTTTTCGCGTTACGAGCGTAAAATTGAAAGGATAAAGATTTGATTAGAGAAATTTTAAGAAAAATTATTATAAAATTACAATTGATATAAATATACGAATATCTTATAAAAAAATTTTTATCTCTTTTTCGATTTAATAATATTGCAGTTTATAGAGAATGATATTTTTATCGTTAGCAATCTCTTAATATTTGCAGGAACGTATGGAAATTTTTATTTTTGCTGCGCAAAATATAATCGCCTAGACCAGAAAATCAATCGAGAGGAAAAAGAGAATTCTCTCGGAATTTTTTGGATTATCTCCTCCTTAAATTTTTCAATGACCGCGTTACTTATTTTTTACTTAGATGAAGAATATCGCAGAAAAAAATGTTTGGCGCGCGGCTGGATTGCCAAGATTTTTATCGGAATTGCGATATTGGATAGACTGGACGGAAAATATACGGCAACCGGAAGGAGGGATATCCGCAGGCATGAGATTTCCGGAACGATTCTGGATCTGCCGCGACAGAAATCCGAGCTATGAAAAGTCCGCGATGCGGTTTCGCCATTGAGAAAACGCGCCGGCGGATGAAAGTATCTTACGGCATGGCAGCAAAGTCGCTCTAAAGCCGCCAAGTTAAACGAAAGTCCGTAAAGACTGATTCAGTCGCGACGTTGAAAACGTAGTACCACCGCCTGCCACCTCATAGGTTTGCTCAGGAAAAACATTTTCGCGACAACTTCGCACACATCGGATGTTGACGTTATCTATGATCGATACCGCGTCTCCAGGATGATATTCAAAACTCACCGGAAAATTACAGCTCCCATTTTTGATGCGTTATTAAATGAATAAAACGATTCCAAAAAAATATTTTATTTTATTTTACAAGGAACAAATGAATTTGCTTTATAATATTTATGTTTATGTGTGCGCAAGGTTTCTTAGATTAATTATCAAAAATATAAATAAAATCATATATTTGATATGTCTAGTGAAAGAACTTCTCGGAAATGTAATTTATTACATGTATTTTTTTATATGAATATTAATAAGCACAGCAAGCATATAGAAGTAAACCTCGTATTTTTTAATTAATAATAATTGAATTAATTTCAATCATTTTAATTTCGTTGATTAACTTTATTGAGCATCGTATTATTTTTATTAAAAATGTAATAATAGTAGCAAGAATGTCATCAAATCTATGTAAAACAAGTGTGATACTAAACAATTTTGCGTCATCGATGCTCGCTAATAGTTTCTTATCGCTAATTTGTCTGTGTTAATACACATATAACTTCAAACACATATGTATAACTTCATCTGCATTAAGATAAATGATATGATCACTGCAAGTAAGATTATTGGGATATTTGCACGTGTCGAAGAAATCGTAATCGAAATTGCCTCGTCGTTACGACGAGTCAACGAAGCAGTCTTCCGGTTACCGCTGTTGGTTGCACACGGCCAGCATCCCGCATGAGTATCGCACCTGTGCTGTTGCTAAACGCGTACGTACGAAACGCAGACGATGCATGCAGCGACTACGGAATGCATTGCAATTTATGCTGATTTATATGCGCGACGGCTTGCACAATAGAAACGGTGCTCGCAAACTGGTTGTCTCTCTCTCTCTCTCT